ACACAAGGTCCCCAAGTGAGTATGCCAATAGCACATCATCATCTGCAATCACCACAATTTTATTGGAAGCAAGCACACAAAGTCCATCGCTCTAGATGCTATCCGATACATTGAATAGGGTGGGTGGATAATTTTGACCTTACCTCGTTTTCTATAGGAATAGGCTTCATTAGTCTCCCACTAACTGCAGTTGGGCCTAGAATACTTACCCAGGATTTAGCCATTGTGGACGCCTTAAATACCAACATCTCACTCGATGCCCAATGATGTTTATGGATGCTTAAAGGAAAAGGGATTTTAAACCCAGAACTATACTTCACTACATTCTGGATCACTACCCAGTAACCTCTGGTGAACCTGAAATTGTGGGTATGGAGTTGAGGATTGTGATACATTGATAACTTGCATAATGGCACTCAGTATCTGAGGCTCGCACCTGAGAATGGGCCATTTGAAAGAGATGTCAGATGGTTCCTGTCAGTGGCTACGTAATCGAATACAAGATCCTCATCCTCACCTTCAAAGCCCTCCATGGTCTTGCTCCCACCTACCTCTGCGACCTCCTGACCTCCTACCATCCTGCTTGCTCCCTCCACCCAGCGGGCTCCGGCTTACTTCAGGTCCCCCACCTCGCTCACCCACTATTGGCTGGCAGGCCTTCTGTCACTCTGCCAGCATCCTCTGAAACTCCATTTTGCAATCACTCCTCCTCGCCGCTCATCCCTTTCCTCCTTCAAGGCCTCTCAAGACCTCTTTAGACCGTGCCTTCAGCTCCCTCTCGACTCTCCCTCCTCCTCCCTCCCCCCTCCCCTCACCCGACATCCCCCGCTCGGGTCCGACCAACTGTCAGCCCTTGGGACGTCCTCTCACATGAAAGGGCCAAAATGGAATTTGTTGTTGTTGTTGTAATCACAGATTGACATTGTGTGAACTGAATGAGGGAAGAAATAGGGCAAGATAAATCGATCAGATAGCACAAAAAACTTTTTTTATGAAATTCTTACCCACAGCCTCTTTAGGGGTCCAGTAACCAGAGGAATCACAGACACGAGGGGACGAGGCTGTGTGTGCATACTGATACAATGTCCCATCTTCACTGCAATCTCCACACTGCGTTCCCACCTCTCTAGGAAAGAAAAATAGAAAAATAGTCTGTGGAGAATCACAAAATAATGTCCACAATTACACACCCTTAATCCTCTGAATACTCTGAAACATTCTCAAGGTTTCAGTTTGGTACGGTTAATAGCACTCTTGCCTCTCAGTAAGATTGTTGTGAGTTCAAGCCCCACGTCAAGATGTTGCACTCACAATCTGGAATCACACACCAATGCAGTATTGGGTATTGCTGAATTGGTGGTGCCATCCTTCAGGTGAGATTAAACTGAGGTTCAGGTGGACTTTTTAAAATCCTCCACGGCATTTATTGAAAAGGAAAGTGAATATTCCAGTCTATGATATTAATAATGCCATGAGATCTTAAATATTCACCTGAACAGTAAACAGGAGCTTGGGTTAAAACCTCTTTCGAATGCCAATGCAGTAATTTCCCAGTATTGCGCTGAAATGTCAACCTGAATAAAATCATGTACCAGATCAAGAAAGCATTTTTTTAATTTAGCATCGCCTTTTGCAGTAAGTCTAATATGCCTGGCATTGCTGATTTAGCCTGTGGGCGGTACTTTGTGTACCCATTGTCTACATTACAACTTTCCCACCCCGATCAGGTTAGCAGTGTAAACTAACCACAGGGAAGGAGATGTCAGATGGTTCCTGTCAGTGGCTATGTAATCACAGACTGACAAGGAGGGTAATAAGACAATGAGTTTACAATGCATTCTGCATGCCTTTTTTCATTTACTCTGGCAACAGCCTGAAAGCCAACTGTGCACTCTCTTTCTGTCTCTTGGAGCAATATTGAGGGTATAATGAGCAAGGAAAGAAACTAGAAAAATGAATTTATCGAACCAAAAAAACAGGATCTGATCTGTCATCTCAAATGCTTCCATTTTCAGATTTTAATGAGCTTTATCATAGTAATAACTAATACTCTTTGGATTTTATGTAGAGCCCTTATCACGACTTCGAGAAAAGATTTCACAGAATGTGCTGTAAAGTGAATTGACTGTAATTTGTGGGTGAACACGCAGCCATGTGCACAGCAATGTCGTTACATTAGTGAGTCAAATTATTATACTTTCTTTTTTTGAAAGGATTTTACCCGCCGAAAAGATGACCCAATTGATAACAACTTCCTACTTATTACTAGGTAAACCAAGGTGTGTGGAGTAAAGAAACTTGCCCTGCCTGGTCCTCTCTTGCGAGAGAGTGCTCTAACCAAATACGCTAAACGACTCCACATTATGTTGTGTCAAAGCAATCCAATATTGATACCATAAAAGAAACATGACGATCAGCTACTGTGGTTCACTTGGTACCTGGAGAAATGATGCTGCATGGAAAGCAACAGCAAGCCTCAACAACCTAGTGACCAAGTAGAGTGGTTTTAAATATGATCCATCCCGCAAACCTTTTAGATGTTGCATATGGTCTTCATACAGCATACTAACATTTGCGCAAGCTGTGCTCTGTCACTGCCAAAGGAATCACTCACAGATGTTGGCCTACTTCTGGCTAGCTTTGCTCTGAATTTGTAAATCCCACATAATGTTGCCAAGACAATAGAGAGAGTCCAGAGGAAATTTATTAGAATGGTACGGGGGATGAGTGGTTTGACTTATGAGCAGATACTGGGGGAGATGGGCCTTTTTTTCCATTGGAAAAATAAAGGGTGAGGGATGACCTGATAGAGATCTTTAAAATTATGAAGGGCTTTGATAGTCAATAGGGAGAAATTATTTCCATTGGTCAGTGATTAGAGGGCTTCAGTTAAGATCGTAAACAGTTAAATGGAGAGGTTAGGAGAATTCATTTCATGCACAGAGTGGTCATATATAGAGAGCCTTGCTGGGAGCAATGGTTGAGCCAGAATGCATATTCGGATTCAGAATGGAGCTAGATAAATACCTAAAAAGAAGTAAACTGCAGGAGGATGGAGAAAGGGCAGGTAAATGTGATTGAAAGGATTGCTTTTAAAAGAGCCAGCACAGGCACAGTGGGCTGAATGGCTTTCTTCTGTGCTGTAAATTTCCATGGTGCTATGATTTACGGTTTCAGGTGTTGATACAAGTATGCATCAGGCTGCTGTAGAGAAGTGCAGCATGGCAGATTAGATGGCAGGTACAGTGGGCAACAGGTTCCGTTAACTTAAATATGCTTTGTTTTCATCTAACTCTGTTTTTAGCCCTACATGTTTTGCTTTTGTCGAAAGTAAGTTGCGTGCACAGGTGTCTACCTCTCATCAGATCTACCACTGAACGGAAAACTTTATGCTCATAGATTTTGCCCACAAATATACAGTCAATTCACTTTACAGTCTATTCTGTGAAGCGCTTTGAGAAGTCGAGAAGACGTGAAAAGCACTGTATCTAATTCAAGGATTATTATTTATATATTATATTCAAATCCCACACGTCTCCACTACTGTACACTTGAGGAGGATATGCACTGAAGCAGCAGCCGTGGTTATGCATATGTAGGATTGCTAAGATCATTTGTACGCTAGAGAAAATGCTAATTATACCTTTATTGACGATAGTTCAATAAAGGGTATAATTGCGGCCAATTGCGCACAGCAGTGTCTCACAAACAACAACAACAACAACAAGATTCCATTTATAGAGCGCCTTTCACGTCAGGAGGACGTCCCAAGGCGCTGAAATCCACAAAGTGGATTAAGTGACCAAATTTTTTTTTGAAGGGATTATTATCCTCAGAAAAGCAATACATCAAATCGTCTAACAATTGGGTCCCTACTTACTGCTGGATAAACAGAGGCACGTGGAATAAGGAAACTTGCCCAACGTTTCGCCATGCTGGCTATGAAGTGATGTCTACCCGAATTTGGCCCGGATAACTTCTTGCTCTTTGCTCTGTCTAAATAACTAAATAATGAAATCTAATGCATATTGTTCACTTATGTTAGTGAACATTTTGTTCTGCACGATCGACCCCCACTCCCAACAGTCGACTTGAATTTGTATAGTTTTGATGCGATTTTGAAGGGTAGTGGAAATCTGGTACTCTTTTCCCTCAAAGGGCTGTGAATGCTGGATCCATTCAAATTTTCAAAGCTGAGGTGAGTAGAGTTTTGTTAGGTAAGGGTATCAAGGGATATGGGGCAAAGGTAGGTAATTGGAGTTGATGTATGGATCAGCCATGATCTAATAAAATGGCGGAACAGGCTCGAGGGGCTGAATGGCCTACTCCTGTTCCTATGTTCCTATCTTTCAGACCTTAGAAGTCCTCCTGTTCAGTGTTAGGACCAGTTAAAACTCCATTTTTTCTCTTATTTGCTTGTATGATTAGTTTGCCCCAGTTTTGTTTGTTAACCCTTCCCTCTCTTACGAAGAGAGGTAGAATCTCAGAAGTTATAACGTTTTCAGGCAAATCATTTGGGACGTCAAGAAGCAACATGCCAGGAGATTGGTAGAGGCCTGGAATTGAACCTGTCTCTTACCCCAAAACTGCATGAAAAAAAAGTACAGGAGATCAATCTAACATTACAGTTTACATTAGTCACTGCTGACTGCTTGCATTCTTCAGATGTCTTTGTCCTGCGCCCAATAAGACTGGAGCCACAGTATTCCATGGAGTATTTCTCCAGTTATGTCTGTAGCTACTGCCAATAAGTTCCATTCTCAACCAGATATTTGCAGCGCATATGCTTGAAGACATTGATCGAACAAGAGTAGTTACTTTTGATGTGAGCTGATTCCAACTCTTTATGGGAAGGAAACGTTTTGAATTGCCTGTCTCATTTGAAAGTTATTTTGTAGTCGAATCCTCTTGAGCCTTCGGGATAGATTATTCCAAAATGTTTTGTATTAGTGATTCTTGTGGGAGCAATAACTTTGTAATCCTTCTCTCTGTTTCTTCAGACAGAAACGTCACTCACGTGCAACAATGGGAAATGGGACAGAACTGTGACCTGTGACCCAATTAACTGTGGAATTCCTGACCAATCCCATGTTTACTATGCCAGATTTTCCTGTCCCAAAGGCACCACTTTTGAAAAGCAATGCATCTTCTCCTGTAACCTGCCAGCTAAACTGCAAGGTACAAAACAACAATTCAACTTATTTTATTTTGTAAGCGGATAGCTTTTGAAATGCAAATGAGAACAAAATGAGAAATGTAGCATACCAGTCACTTTGTGTGTTGGTGGGGGGAGTGGGGGTGGTGGGGGTTGAACAGGGCATCAAAGGAGATTAGGGCAAAAAGTGGCCTTTTTATTTTTAAACTTGGCTAATGATGAGAGGGGAACAACGCAAGTTATGTAGTGGGACAGCATCTAGCTATGAAGTAAGCACATCCTCAGTCTGTGCAGCAGGGAAAACCTCAGTCTTTGTAGTAGTGATGATAATAATAATCTTTACATTTGATATTATACCTTATCACATTGTTGAGACATCTCAAAGTGCCTCAGGATATATTGTAAAGTGGATTGACTGTGTATTTTGTGGGTGAAAAGCGGCAACCAATTGCGCACAGCAACCCCACAAACATTCGTGGATTGTTTGAGCAANTTTTTTTTGCGGGATTAATCCCCCTGGAAAGCAATCCACCAATCGACTAACAACCGGGTTCCTACTTACCAGTAGAGGTGTGTGGAGTGAGGAAACTTGTCTAAGGTTTTGCCCTGACCGGGAATCGAACCCGGGTCCTCTTGATTACAAGGCGAGCGCACTCATCACTATGCTCAGGACTCGAGTAGTGAAAATCTCCGTTTGTGCCCTAAGTAAACCTTAGTCTGTGGTAGGGAAAACCTCAGTCTGTGCAGTAGGACGACCTCTGGCTCTGAACTCAGGAAAACACAGCTACAATGATCAGCTGAAATGTTTTATCTCAGTGAAGAACAGACTGTACTGCCAGTTCTTCATTAACATTAAAAAGTAGGGGTGATCAATCAAACTGCTGAGGGTACTTCTTAAAATTTGAAACTAATGTTTATAAAACAATGGTTTGTGGGACTTGCTGTGTCAGTAGCGGTACCCTACAGCAGGTGCTTCATTCAGGCAGTACATGTCTAATATCTGCAGTTTTAGCTGGTTAGACTCCGGCAATTACCCCGCCACACAATCTGACATCCCCAAGTCTTGGCTCTTGCCAACCTGCACCTAATATTTTCCTTAATTAGGTAACCTGGAGGTGTCCCTCCAGAGAGAGAGTGCGCATTACATTCCACCAATCTATCTGTGGAATTTCCATGTGTAGGTAGGGTGCGTGGAAATCTCAGCTTGGTTTGGATACTCTTAGCATGGTGATGGATTTCTGCATGTGTCAGACACTCGTCTGACCAAAAACAAGTCTCACATCAAAACTTTTGGCTCCTTTCATACTTGAGCAGGTTTATTATTGCAAAAATCAAACCCAGCTCACATTCCTTATTAGGTGATGAGCCATCCAATATTTGGTGAATTCTGCTTCGAAGAGGTGACATGGAAAGGTTAAACAACAACATTGCTATGAATGCCATGGCTACTACAAGCCAATTACCACTGTGGGAATTTGTGTGGCATCTTCTTAAAACTCACAATGTCAGAAGGACTGTGAGACATTGTTTTCATAGTCTGTATGCGGTCTGACAATCAAGTTGCAGCGTATTGTAAAATAATTTGTGGGGCAGTATAATTGATTCTGCTCTGATGTGAGGAATCTGGGTAGTAAAAGGTGCATGAGAGGCTGAGGAAATACAGCTAAAACATGTAGGAGCCCAGCTCTGCAACAAGGTTTTTTTTGGCAATTGGAGAACTTTACAAGTTTACCTGCTTGCCAGGGTGAAAGGCAAATCTGCCAACTGGTGACCTTAGCTTTGTAGTTTTGCTATCTATCTTAGGAGGTTCAGCATGCATTGTAGGTAGTAAATAAATATTCTTCTTACTTCTGTGATCAGAGGCCTGTTGCTGATGTGCACCATCAACTGATTGACATGGGTGGAGGAATTGAACATTTTCTTCACACTCATCATCTTTGTAGGTCTTTTGAAGAAACCCAAGTTAGCAGGGTGTTGGACTGTGAATGATTTTATAACAATTCTGAATTTTGACTCTGATCTAAAGCCAATTCTAACTTCTTCTGAAGCTCTCCCACCTTGGCAATACTGGGGGAGAACCACAATGTAACCTCTTTCATCTCATTCTCACTAGTTAATGTCTTTTAAAGGTGCACATCCTAGATCAACACATCTCCGTAGATGGTTTACACACAGAAGAAGGCTATTCAGTCCATCTTGTGATTGTATGGAATTCTAGAAAGGAAATGCTCCTACTGAGTTAGTTCCTTTAGGACAGCGTGGTCCAATCTTTTGGCTGCCATGGGCTGCATAAGGTATATTTTATGTTTCCCTTCCAGAAGCATAACATTTACACAGCACCTTTTTCACATTACAAGGACATCTTAATACTGTCAGCTGGCACCTGAGCTGGGAGTGGGAGCCAAGAGAGGTGATATGGGAGGGGAAAAGATGACCAAAAGCTTGGTCAAAGAGTTAGGTTGTGACGTGCCTTGAAAGAGGGGAGGGAGGGAGTTGGAGGGACTCCAGGAATAAAACTCCATAGAGCGGGGGAAAAATGGCGACAGTGAGGGGACATGAAGCAAGCTGGTGCTTGTTCTGCAAAGGGAACGGCCAGGTCGGGAGGTAGCAGAGGTAAGAGTGGAATGAAGGACATAGAGGGAGCTTTCCGTGAGGAAACTGTATGGCCCGTCACTCATGTGTCCGTCCTCGATGGCATAATAAAGCACTATGTCAAATGCAGGGATTGTTATTATTTTAATGTTAGTCCTGGTGTTTCTCCCGGTGTCCTGGCCAACAAGNCCCCCAGATAAAAGCATTGATCATTCACTTCATAGCTGGTTGTGGAATATTGCTGTCTGCAAATTGGCTGCAGGGTTCTCTGCCCTTTCACTATACCCCTTGATATTTTTCTTCAAATATTTGCCCAATTAACTTTTAAGAATTATTGTGGATTCTTGTGGTGCCTCTAAACTCTTATGTTTGAATGCTGCCAGGACATACCTTGTGATAGGGTATGCTGGCCCCATCTCAATTTACAGGAGCTCCATGTTCTGTTGGGAGTTGGTGGATGGACTGGCAATTCTGTGCCTTGCACCATCATTTGAGCTCCCAATGCAAGCTGGTACCTTACTCTTGGCGTGCTACATTGATGGAGATGCTGTCCTTTGGATGAGTTACCAAACCAAGGTTCTTGTCTGCCTGTTGCCATTCAGGAATGGGCAGGAAATGGGACCGATCATCACATGTGTGGCTGGATTTGAAAGATCCCATTGTGCTAATTTTAAGAACAGGGTGTTCTTCACCTTGATCTTTATCTAAATTAAATTTTATTGGCAAGCAGACACTATCTCCCTCCCACAGTGGTTGTATTTTGAATACAAAACCATTTCATCGTTTCATTTTCATAAAGTGAACAGTGTAAAAGAATTGTGAAGGACAAGAAGAACTCGGCAGTGTGTGTGTTAAATTATTTTGGAGTGAGTTCAAGAGCGAAATCCCGCCAAACCACTGCTCAAAACAATGTCACCACTGATCAACGTCTTCTTCTGATGGATCAATTAAATAATGCTGCGACCATTCTAAACATGTGGTTCAGATTTGCAATTCTTTGTGGTTTCGAGGACTTTATGTTTAAGTATGATGTTATTGTAACCTTTTAAAACACCACGAGTTGCCAAAACATTGTACCAAAAATAAAATGAAATTCTCACATACTGTAGTGCACTTTTAAACACCATATAAAGGACTGAAATGTATCACAAACTCTAATCAACACGTGCCTTTTGAAACTTGAGACAGTCATTGATACCGTAGAAATGTTATCTCGCTGAAGAAATGACCAACCTGGAGAAATTGCTACCGTATTTGTGGATTTTATCTTTAGGAGAAAACCACTCCCTGATGTGTATGGAAGATGGCCTGTGGTCGTTCCCCGAGGCCTACTGCAAGGTGGAATGCATTGCTCCACCTCCAATAGCCAATGCCAAGCTGCTGGTTCCCAGATGCCAACAAGGAGGCCACGACGTGGGTTCGGTTTGCAGATATAAATGTAAACCTGGGTATTATGTCCACGGGAGTAACAGAACATCCAAAAAGTAAGTTTGCAAAGGGATGCATGTATTTAATATTTGAGGTGACAGCAGCTACACTTTTCATCTCCTTGGTGATGATATTAAAAAGAAAAAAAAATCCCTTTTGAGAAGGATTTTGTTAATGTTTCTTGGGGTCAGAATTGGCATGTTTAACTCACAGTGGAATATCCAGTTAAACAGAATTGTGTGTGTAATAACTCTGTGTGTAATGAGTATGACATGATTCCAGACATTGCCTCCTAAGGGTGACAGCTTGGCTCAGTTGCTAGCACTCTTGCCTTGAGCTGGAACTTGAGTTAACAGTCTATGCTGATGACTCGGAGCAGTGCTAGAGGAGAGCTGCATTGTTAGAGATGTGGCCCTTCAGACAAAACATACAAACACAACCCGAGGCTCCACTTCTCAACCAACTCCTCTTCCCACACTCCCTTCATCCTCATCTCAAACTCTAAATGTGAGATGATGGACTTACTGGATTCAAAAATTGAGCATGTTCTCTTAGCTGTCTCTGTTTCTGCCACTCCCAATCACTTCTCTCTCCTGCTCTAACTTAACCCTGCCTCTAATTTTTGTAGCTAGCATTATCCTAATTGCTGTAGCCCCGATAATTGTGACACCAACGCAGTGCCAATGGCCCGTGAATGAATGCTGGTTCCTGAGTTATTATCACCTTTTTTGGTGATAAGTTGGTATCCCAGGAAAAGGCACTGAAAATATTCTTCTCTGTTTGCCAGCAATGGGAGCTCTCACAAGTTGCTGTAAGTTTACAATGTATATAATAATAATACTTGCTTTTGATACAGCACCTTATCACGTCTTTGAGACATCTCAAAGCGCTTCACAGAATATACTGTAAAGTGAATTGACTATATATTTTGTGGGAGAATATATTAACAGAGTATCTTATTCTGTTGATAGATAGTCTTTTGTAGATGGTTTCAGTAATGCACGCCAGAATTTTTCTTCTTCATTTGACCGAGGATCTCCTTCAATACCTATATCGGCTCACGATGATTTCCTTCTGTTGTTTGAGTAGCTTGTGTCAGCTTTCCCCACCCATATCTTGTGGCACATCTAACCACCTTTTCAAGGTGCAATGGACATAATCTTCCCATCATGTCACACTTGAGCCATGTTGTGGTTAAGATGATCTACAAGAGTAATCTGAAACTGATAAGCAATTCTTCACCTAGTTGTTCAGAAAAAAACAGGTTGCCAGAGTTCATTTAAGGTTTTCATTGTACTGTCATCAAACTTCATACTTTGGCTGCTGTACAGCACATATTTTGCCATTGAGTTTCTAATTTCTCAGCTCCTCCTCATTTTATAATTGAAAGGCTGCTGTTTGAAATTCAGATGTTTCACAGTGTTTTTGGTCTGGTGTGCATCACATCCTTTCAGAGCTTGGTAACATGAGCAACTTTGGATTCTGAGGCAGACGTCTTTAATAATAATAATTCTTACATTTGATATAGCAGCTCATCAGATCCTTATATGTCTCAAAGCCCTTCACAGAATATATTGTAAAGTGAATTGACTGTATATTTTGTGGGCGAAACACGGCAGCCAATTGTGCACAGCAGTGTTCCACATCTGCCCGGCCCACCCCAATATTGGCAGTTAAGCCTACAGTCTCTCTGCCCCCATCCTTTGGAACTGCATTCCACAGTCTCTTCACCTCGCTCCTTCCCTTGTCTCCTTCAAGGCCTGTCTCAAGATCCTCCTCTTCACCTGCGCCTTCAGTCACATTCTCACCCCCACCCTCACCATCCATACCCTCAACTCCTCCTGAATCCTAGGGTGCAAATCCATGACTGTCCTGCGCTTTGGGATGTCCACCCGAAGTGAAAGGCGCTTTATAAATATAATTTGTTGTGGTGGTTTAAGTATGACCCAACTCAGCCTCCTCGGTGAGACCAGCAAACTCACACAGATTGGATTGAGCAAACTCTTTTTCCACAAACTGATTCTCGGCCACCACATCATTGGGCTGCCACCACCCCCCACCACACCCCCAGCAGGCGAGCGTTAGCATTATTCATCTCACAACACTATTCATAAAGAGAATGGAATTTCTCTCAGTGTCCTGGCCAACAATCTTGATGAATTACTCATTGATTTTATGGCTGTTTGTGCGAACTTGTTTTATGCAAATGGACTGACTTATCTGTCTACAATCATTACAGTTGACAACAGTTTCCTGTGAAGTGCTTTGACACATTTTAATGTTTAGGCGCCATATCAAGTGTAAGGACGATTATTTTCATGACTTACATTTCGAACGGCTTGGCTTCATATTATATTTTTCTCCTGTGGCTCGATTTTAGAGGTCACATATTCAGTCACAGTCATTTGGGATCTCAATTTTGTGACTCTTTGCAGAACTTTGCAATGGCAACTTCCATTATCGGGGCTTGAGAGAGGAGGAAATTGAACTGGCAAAACTGTGTGACCCAGTAGATAGTCCTTCCAGTTTGTTTGGTGGCTAACCTGGAGAATTGTGGACCTAGATAGGTTGTGAATAAGTCTCAAAGATTAACAATAATAGTAATAATCCTTAGATTTGATATAGAGCCTTACCATGTCTTTGTGACATCTCAAAGTGCTTCACAGAATGTACTGTGAAGTGGATTGACTTTTTTTAAAAAAGGGTTTATTACCCCCGGAAGAGTGATTTGACAATGGACGAACAACTGAGTTCCTACTTACTGCTAGGTAAACAGAGGAGTGTGGAGTAAGGAAACTTGCCTCACGTTTCACCCAGCCCGGGAATCGAATCTACTTGCGAGAAGAGTGCTCTAACCAAATACGCTACAGGACTCACATCTGCTGCAGGAGTAACATTTACTACAGCAACAAAGCAGTGAAAAATCATGTGTTTTTCACAATCTCAGCATGTCACTTCGGTTCCCGGTCTGTCTCTCTGAACAAGGGTTACATTGAAGTCAATTAATTGTCAGAGAACCAGATGAAGATCAGTTGCTTTCTGTTCTATCAAGAAATATTGTTGCATAGTACTTAACACTTTTATCCCAACCAAGTTGATCAGAGTTTAGGATACGTATTGTTGTTCTTGGCTCCTGAATTATTGTAATTCTTAGCAGATTGCACAGTGTCTGTGTCCAGACCCTTTCTATTCCTAGAAATAGCTTGTTTTTTTGCAGTGTAACAGATCAAACAGATGCTCTGAATTTTAAATCAGATAAAGTTTGCTTTCTGACTGCTGGCCTGTAAACAGAAGTGTGCTTTTCTTTTATTTAAAAAAAAGATTCACTCTTATTAGCTTCACCACACCAGCACTGTTCTGCACCTACATTTTTCTATGACCGAATATGGGGGCAGTGATCATTCAGTCCCTAGCTTCCTACCGGTATCCAGATACCATAGAACATCATCCTTTCTATTTGCTCTCCTCTTTCCTCAGGCAGAGAGCATATGCCATTTTCAAAACCTTCCCAGCACCTCCCAACGTGGGGAGTGGCGGAAGATATAGATAATTACTCAATGGACACTACCTCTCAAACCTGCTCACACCAACTCCTCTAACCGTCCTCTTTGCTCAGCCACCTTCAACCTTCTGCATGTCCCTCGTCCCCTCCACTCCACTCTCTGCAGCCATGCATTCAGGCACTGTGCCTGAAAATCTGAAACTCCCTGCCTCAATCCCTCTACCTTACCCCCTCTTTGCTTGTTTCCAGATTGCACCTGAAGACCTTTCTCTTCGACTGCGCCTACAGTCAACTTCCGTTAACGAATGTCATTAACATTCGCTTCATTAAAAGTGTTCATGGCAAATTCTTTCTTCATTTTACCTTTATCAAACTGTATCATCAATTTTTGGACAGAGATCAAGAAGCATTTCATCATATAATGGGCACTTAAACAGTGCAGCAGGTTCCAGAAACAGTGGCTAGAGACAAGGACAATGGACTCAATGAAGAAATGGCTTGATGTTGTAATGGGAGGATGGTAGGAGGATGGTCTCTCACATGCAACACATTCTGTGGCTCTTTCCCTCTCCCCTCAATGCAGCCTGGAACAGTAAGTGAGGGGTTCATTTCAGGCAGTCCGAGATGAAGCAATGGTTGGGACGCCTTCTTTCAGCTTCTAATTGCACATCAGTAGAGCGTGATGTTTTTTTCTTGCCCACAGGCGCTTCTTGAAGCTGCGGTGTTTGGAGGGAGGCCAATGGGAGTCGGGCAGCTGTAACCCCGTTCTGTGTAACCCGCCTCCTCCAGTGTTCAAGGGAATGTACAACTGCACGAATGGGTTTGAGTTTGACAGCCACTGCACACTTAATTGCAACGGCCAAGCTGACGGGGTGAGCCATTGTTTTCTCCTTGGTGAAAGACCTTTGAGACCTTTTCCTCTGATTAGTTGGTAGATAAAGAAGGTAAGTGCATTCACTGACCTAAAAACAGCAGGAACCTAAAAACATCTCAAGGTCTAATTGTTATATGAGATAAACTCTAATCCAGTGCTGTGGAGTTGATGCACTATAATAATAATATAATAATATAATAATAATAATGGTAATAATCTCTTCTAAATAAATAAAAATAATAATAATTTGGTCACTTAATCCACAACTGTTTGTGGGACAATACTGTGCGCAATTGGCTGCCGTGTTTTGCCCACAAAATATACAGTCACTTTACAGTATATTCTGTGAAGCGCTTTGAGACATCTCGAAAATGTGATAAGGCGCTACATCAAAAGCAAGGATTATTATTTTAAGAATTGCCTTGTTTTTCATTGCAGAGTAAAGTTCCTGCTGTGAACCGTTCCCAGGTTGAGTCCAGCAAGAATTAGATACAGGCTAATATGTACAGTCTCCACGTTGTCCGATAGAGCATTTGAATGGGAGACTATACAGGGTTAAGGTTTCTCTATTGATCTGCTGTTTCAGGTCATGCCTCTGCAGGGATCTTCTGAGCCGATGCTCATATATGCAGTAGTAACCAAACAGGACTGAGCTTTCTCTGCTGGAATCGGGATTTGGTCTGGAAATAATTTTCATTCTCCGTAGAGCAGCTCACTAACCTGAGGTAGCTGATTCCAGCAGAGTGTCTCACTGCAGAGGGGAACCCCAAAGGGTGGCTCACTGCAGGCACAAAAGCAAAGCACGGAAACAATAATGATCTCACGCCAGTGTTTATATTACCTATATAGGCGATGCTTTTTGTAAAAACACAGGCTCTGCACATTTTCTTTGTCAGTACTCCTCCATATGACATTATTATTCCTATTTAAAATGGTTAACTATTAATAATAACAATATTAATCCTTGCATTTGATATAGCGCCTTGTCATGTCGTTGAGACGTCTCAAAGGGCTTCACAGTGATGTATTGCAAAATTTTAAATCTTTAGAATAATATACAAAATTAAAAATACTTTACGGTATCAACATTTGTTTGATGATTCAGCTTGGTGATTGGATGGATTAACATTTGTTGTAGTACAAGCACTGGAATGTTTCAGATTTTGCAGAGAATTGAAGACAGTGTTGCTTCATCTGAAATATAAATAATAATCCTTGCTTCTGATATAGCGCCTTATCATGTCGTCGAGCCTTCTCAAAGTGTTTCACAGAATATGTAAAGTGAATTGACTGTACATTTTGTGGGCAAAAGCAGCAGCCAATTATACACATCAGTGTCCCATGAAAAGTCATGGATTGAGTGACCACATTTTTTTCTTCTTCATGGCATTATTACCCCGGAAAGCAATACGTTAATTGACAAATAACCTGTTTCCAACTTACTGTTAGGTAAACAGAACCATATGGAGTAAGGAAACTTGCCTAAGATTTTGCCTTGCCTGGGAATTGAACCTGGGTCCCCTTGCTGGCGAAACGAGTGCTCTAACCACTATGCTCCAACCACTATGCTCCATAAGCAGAGCATACCATGTTATCATTTCGTCTGGTCCAACAGAGTACAACATTAAACAGACTTGATTAAAAATAAATAAAGCAAAATGGCCGGTTGATCGAGGTAGCAAAGGACATTTAAGAGGTCAGACTAGCTCAAACCAGAGAAGCGCTCCAGAGGTATCATTAACAGTGGCGCTCATCTCAAATCATCTTTCTTGCAACAATAACCTTGATGCAGACCCAAATTGAATTTATTGGGAAACTACACAGAACGTGTAGGTAGGAATTGTGATAGGTTGGGTGAGACTGTGTGGCTTTGAGTTCATTTTTTTAAATAAACTCTTGGAAGGCGATTGAAAAGGAACACAGTGTACTTGTTATGCTGGGGGGCAAGATGCTTTCCACTGTTTCTAAATTAAACCTTTATTGTATTTGCTTTGAGCCAAAGCACATGAGAAGTGGCTGCCAAATACGTGTTACATGACAGGCATTGCAGAGGAAATAATGCCATTCAGTGTCCAAGATGATCTATTTACACAGCGGTCTGAGGCACAAGAGTGCATTGGTGCTGTTCTATCAGGATAAATCATCCAAAATAAAATGATTTAATCCTTGCAATAAAACAGAAATATTGAAGTCTCACAGCAACTGAATCAATGTTTGAAAATGATACAAAGGTCCTTTCGTTTTCTCTTTCGAATGCTGATGATTGACCTCCTGCTGATCTCAGGCATTTAGTGATTTTTTTTCCGCAACTAGTATAGTGGCCCATCCTTGGATGTTCTAAATACCTGGAGTTTCAAACATCTAATAAGAATCACAGTGCACTTCGAAATTGTGGCCACGCATTCCGGAAAGCCTCAGATTTAATCAGAATTGAATTAGCTGTTCTCAGCCAAGACTTCGATTGATCTCAGCTCCCCCTGGACTAGGGAATGGGACAATCAGCCAGCATACTAGCTTGTGAGTAGTGTCTAATGGCCCCTGTTGGAAGGTGTGTATGTGTGGGCATGTGCTACAGACAGGATCAGACTTAGTTATCATTGGCCCAAATAAAATGATAAGCCTTGTCATGTCGTTAAGAAATCTCAAATAATTGACAGAATACATTGTAAAGTGAATTGACTGTATATTTTATGGGCCAAAACACGGCAGCCAATTGCGCACAGCAGCGTCCCACAAACAGTCTTGAATTAATTGACCAAAGTTTTTTTTGAAGGGATTATTACCCCCGGAAAAGCAATCTGCCAATCGACTTACAACTGAGTTCCTACTTACTGCTAGTTAAACAGAGGCATGTGGAGCAAGAAAACTTGCCTAAGATTTTGCCCTGCCTGGGAATCAAATCCAAGTCCTCTCACTTGTGAGGCGAGCACACTAACCAATATGCTACTGATCTCCACAGCATTTAGCACCATTTACAGAAGAGGCGATATGTCCTCAGAAGAGGGATAAGCTGGAGAGACAGGAATTAAGATTGGAACACTTTAAAATTCAATCTTGATTTGGAAGCTGTTCTTTTAAATACATCAGAAAGCTACCTTCCTATGGAGCTTTGATTGCAAATTTTAAAACAATTATCTTAAGCCTAACATTTGAGTCAAAGCAGCAGGAGCTGCCCTGCCTTCTCCGTGGGAGGGCAGTACCTTAATTTGATGTATAAGAGGCTGTATAATAGAACTGTATAGTTACTTTTATGTGAAAGACCTCATATAAATGAAAGTTACCAACCAGTGACTATCCTCCTGGGGGGGGGGGGGGGAGGTAAGCGGTGTCTTCTTGAAGCCGAATTGGCAAGCTATGCAGTTTTAGCTGGTTAGACTCCAGCAGTTACCCCAACTTACACTATGGGGTTCCCAAGCCTTAGCTCTTGCCAACCTGTACCTAATACTTCCTGCATTTAGATAAGCAGGATGCATCTCTTCAGAGAGAGTGCATATTCCATTCCAATAAACTTCTGTGGAATTTCCATGTGTAGGCAGGATGCATGGAATTCTCAGTTGGGTTTGGATACATGTGGTGATGGGTTTCCTCATGTGTCAGACAAACAGCTGACCAAAAAATAACTGAAAGCTATTAGATATGGTACTTGTAGTGATGAATTCTCCGTGCATAGCTGAGGCCTGGGATCTGTTTTGGAGCACAAGAGCATGGTAGCGGGTGAGATGAAGTGACAGCCATCTGGCACTTTGGAGAGGTGCCGGTGGTGGGGAGGGAGGGCGGGGGGGGAATAGGTGGACCGGCTGCTCTGGATTAGCTCCCAGGCTATTCTGAAGCACCTGTCCCATGGGAACATTCAGGAGCAGAAAAAAAACTATTTCAGTCTGTCTAGCCACTCTCGTTTTTAAATACCATCTCATCTTTTCGCCCCATTAAAACGAGGGAAGCTGCTCCAAAGGCACAATCGCCTCCTCCTCCCCAAAAAATCTCACTTGAGTGGTCCAGCCAGCTGCAGAGGTGTTTCTTACAGATTCCTAACTATAGGTGATGTTTATATTAATAGTTTTAGATTTTTTTCTTCTGTGACTTTGAACAAAAAGTACCCGCTTAGACTTTCCTTCCTCTTTAATTATATTAGACTTGCTTTTCTCCAATAATTGGCTCAATCGGTGTTTTGAGTTGTCTGGCAGTAATGTGTTAGCAAAGTGCCCAATATTTCCCTCGACACCTGGGCTGCTGCTTTTCACAGAATGGTAAATCAGTGCAAAACATACTGACACTCAATAAACAGGCCCCTCTGTTGTTACAGCTCTGTGTTACTGCCCCGGTTCTTGCCCGAGTCTCCTACTCAGTGACACGGACAGCAGCACAAGACTTTGAATGTACCACTGATACACTTGACATTGTTTGGGTGGGGAGAGTTACCTGTGTGATGGTGAAAGTCTCTTTTTTTTAAAACAAATATTTTTTTTTGTCTCATAGAAGACATACGATCTGTTTAGAGCAGGTAGCTGAGACCAGCTAATGGAGACCAGATGTCTCTCAGAATTCTGTGTTAGCTTTACTGAGCAGAGAGCACATTAACTCCCTACTTCCCATAACTAAAGAGGTCTTGTGTCTGATCAGAACAGATAATGGCACTTCAGGAATAAATCATGTGCTCACCTGCTAGTCCAATGGGTAAAGAGTCAAGTGGGTAATGTCATTACTACCATACTTGAAGATTAAAAATTCAGGTTGATCTTCACTGGGACGGTAATTAGAGCACTCGCCTCGCAAGCGAGATAACTCCGGCTTGATTCCCGGGTGAGGCAAAACCTTCGCCAAGTTTCCTTACTCCACATGCCTCTGTTTACCTAGCAGTAAGTAGGAATATGATTGTTAGTCGATTGGCAGATCGCTTTCCGCGGGTAATAATCCTTCTATATGAATGTATCATTGGCACCTGAGTAAAAATAAAAGATCACCAGAGTAAAAGACAACACATTTAACATCCCCCCCGCACCCCCGCACCCACCCCTGCCGTGAAGGAGGGTGAACAAGCAGCATAATGATGGATTGCAATAAAATGCCGACAGAAGTCATCTCCATCTATGATTCGAAGAGTACAAGATTGTAATCTACGTCAGCCACCCTATTTGGTTGGTATCCTGGCTATTATTCCAGAAGTGAGTAGAGATCAATGTATACATTCACTTTTTTTTAATATATAAGTCCCATTAACTTTTGTTGCATTTGCATTATCTTAGGTCCCGATCCGCTGTAGCAAAGATGGCACCTGGACAGAGGAATTCCGACTGTGCGAGCACGTGCACGGGGACTGTCCACCTCCACCAGAGGTGAACCTAGTGGAGTACTCTTGTAATGAAGGTTACGCAATAGGTACTGAAGCATGTTCTCTTTTTTTTTCAATTCTCTTTAAAACTCTCTGAAGCTCTTCGCAGAATATTTGTGGGCAAAACGTTTTCTGGAAAGTTTATACGTTGCCCGTTTTTTGGAACATTTCGCACATACTGGACTGCTGACAGGTTTTCAGAGAGAAAATAAAAAATTCAATCATTTTATGGCGCGTTTCGCCCACAATTATACAGTCAATTCACTTTACAGTACATTCTGTGAAGCGCTTTGAGACATCTCAGTGACGTGTTAAGGCGTTATATCAAATTAAAGGATTATTACTATTATTATAAGGAACTGTAGTGACACAATGCTAAAACATAGCTTTTTATCTCCCAAGTTCTGGATTTGCAACTTGCGTTGCAAAGGAGATAGTGTTCTCTGCTAAGGCACAGGCACAGTGTTTTAGAGTATTGTCCTTTCACTTTTCAGTCCTGCATTAAAATTGAGCCCAGACACAAAATTAATGGAAGGTTTCCATTCTGTGATCGGACAATGTGGTGATTGAGCTTGACCACTGTATGCTCATCTCCGGTTCATATCCAGACAGTTAGTGCCTAGCTTTCCCCCACTCTCTAATGGCTGTCTAATCGAAATGAATCTGGCCTGTCTCAGTCCAGTTCCCAATTGGAAGCAAATCCCTGGTGCATTTTCCATAATTGAGTATTGATTGGCACTAATTGGATAATGCTATTCCCAGATGCAATAAGGACAGATGGAGTAACCTGGGTTTGTAGGTTGGTGTCCACCGTGTGGTGTCCACACTTTGGTACCACAATACTTGTTCCGACAAATTTTGGCAATGTCACTGTAACAAAAAAGGTGCATCTGAAGAATTTCTCTTTCCCGCCTCCCACCCCACGAACCCACTGTCAAACATGGACAGAATAAAGCTGAACAAGTGCAGAACAAATAGTTTTTTGTTTGTTTCCTGCCATCTGGCATGGCTTTGGTTTTCTCCAACACTGAAGCTAGGAGTTATGAGACTGATAGTCGTAGAACACGAGAAAAAAAAGGGATGTATTTTGCATGTTTGTTATAAGATTTCAATTGTGGTAAATACGGACTGTACTGGAGGAATGGTAGGATGTACATTCCCGATACAGCATGTTGCTGACCTTGGGTGGAGTTTTCTTACTAAGTTAAAGGTTGGAAGAGTTGGCAGGCCATTTCCACGTGGCCAGTTACTCAGCAATTTAACACAAGGGTTGGAAGTTCAGTCTCCAGCCAGCAAATAGTGCATTGCTACATGACCAACAAACCTAAGAGTGAAGCATTGGCAAAGCATTCCTGCTGACCCAGTAATCCAGGAAACAAGAAACCAGGCTACATTTTTCAAACGCCAAGTCATTGTTATTCACTTCCGGGTCTCACCATGTTCTCTGTTGGTAGCTTTCAGTCCCAAACTATCTGTAGTTAGAACTAGAATTTCCAGACTTCTCCACCACCCTTTGGCTCCTACTAGTTAATTCATAGGTAATAAAATCCCTTTCTGCGATCCACCCCTGTTGTGCATGTGGCGTAATTGAATGTGATTAAGTGCTGTGAGTTTTATATGGCGCTGGTTATTATAGCCCCATGTTTTGGCCAATTCCTGAATGGCTCACGAGTGAAGAATTTCTAAGACTTCTGTGCCCAGGTTTATCATGCTTGCAACATCCCTCTTGTGATGCTGTTTTTATATCATCCAAATTCACCATACATTTTCTGCAAAGTGTGTAGGTATTAGCTGGCTCATTTGGTAGCACTCTCGCCTCTGAGTCAGAAGGATGTGAGTTCAAGCCTCATGTCAGGACTATGAACTCACAGACATAGGCTGTGCAATGGTGGGAAGAGCATTGCTTTGTTGGGGGTATCATCCTTTAGTTGAGATGTTGAACCGAGTTCCATCTGTCTATGTCAGAGGTGGATATTAGTGATCCCAATGCACTGTTCAAAAAGAGAAGGCAGTTTCTCCCAGTGTCCTGGCAAACTATTCCCCGGTCACTGCATTTACACAAAATCCTGGAAAGCACTTTGAGATGTCCTCCAACAAGAAAGGTGCTACAGTATTTCAAATGTAAGGCTTATTTGTTTTTATTAAAGTCTTTAGTATAATCTAGGACAAATTTGAATGTGAGAAATGAACAGGTTTCAGTTTGACTTCAGTTAACTCCTACCTCTGCACTTCGTGACCTCACGTAGGTACACGGATGACATCCAACTAACTCCACTTCTGCCTTTGATCTCAGGAACACTGCTCTTCTGCTGATTTCCTGTCAGAGGTCAAGCATTGGATGAGCTCTAACTTTTTATAGCTCAATATCAACAAAACCACAGATAATAATAATAATCCTTGCATTTGATATAGCGCTTTTCACGTCGGAAGGACGTCCCAAAGTGCTTCACAGAACACACTGTAAAGTGAATTGACTGTATATTTATGGGCGAACGCGGCAGCCAATTTCGCACAGCAATGTCCCACAAACAGTCGTAGATTGAAAATGACCAATTTATTTATTGTTTTTGGTTTTGGAGGGATTATTATTAGGCGTGTGGAGTAAGGAAACTTGCCCAAGGTTTCGCCCTGCCTGGAATTGAACTCAGGTCTCTCGCTTGCAAAGCGAGTGCTCTAACCACTGAGCTACAGGACTCCACAAAACTCCACAGGACGTTCTCCTGAAGTGAAAGGAGCTATACCAATTGCAAAGTTTATTATTGTTATTATAACAACATTGAAACGCTCTTGCTTGACTCCCATCAGGGGTCTTCTCACTTCAAGCTCTGACCTTATTGACCTGCGTAGATGCTCACTCCACTTCCCAAAACCAGGGTGAAACATCTGTGTCTTGTTCGAACCTCAACTGTCCTTCAAACCCTGTATCTGAGCTCTTTTCAATCGTGATTTCGACCACCTTCTTCCCATCCTCAGCTCAGCTCTCCCCCTCTTGCTCAGGCTCCATCTCTCCGCGCTCCCACATCCCCCCTCCCTCCACCCTTGCTTGGGCTCCAACACTTTTAGGTGTCCTCTGGTGTGAAAGGTACCATATCAATTTAAATTGCAACTGTAAGAGGAATGGAACTGCATGGTATGACATCAGTAACTCTTTTTGAATTTTTCTTGCTGGGGTGAAGAGATGGGTTCCATTCCTGCTGTAATCTCACCACTCTTTTCGCTCTACATTATTGCGTTATTCTTAGTTGTAATGTACCCGCTTCCCAATTCTACTCTCCTTGTCATAAAATACCAAGACCTAACTTTTGCATAAGGAAATATACTTGAATAAAAAAGGTGAGTTGAAGGTACAGTCACAGAAAGAAAGACAATCGAGCAGCTGGCTAAGAAACATCTCGCTTGGATCAACATTTTCTAGGAATTCTAGATCCTTAACAAATCCCAGCACAGTAGCCCAAAAGCATTAATTCAGCAAATTGTTGAGAACAATAACAGAAGATGTTGAGCAAGGACGTGCTTTATACAGGTTGGTGATTATATTTGCTGAAATGTGCTAGCTGCTGTGGTGAGATTTGCCAAGGAGGATTCTGTTTTTTAGATTCGAAGAGGAACGTTTTATCCTGACTTGCCCCAACCACCCCGAACTGTAACAAAGGCAGCTAACACCCTACTGTCCTCTCAATCAACTCTTATTTCTCTGCTTTATGCTTTGCTGATGTCGTTTAAAGCTGCCTACGATTAGACATGTTGGGTGGAAAAGAAACATTGAAATATATTATAAAATTTATATTATATATAATTAGAAATAATAATCCTTGCGTTTGATATAGAGTCTTATCACTACTTCAAGGTATCTCAAAACGCTTCACAGAATACACTGTAAAGTGAATTGACTGTGTTCCTTGTGGTGAAAATGACATTATAATTACACTTGATACAGAGCCTTATCATTTTAAGATGTCTCAAAGCGTTTCATGGAGTTTTCCGTTAAGTATAGTGACTGCCTATTTGTAGAGGTACAGCCACAAAGTCATTTTTTTTTATCTGGGAGTTCATTGGCCATTGGCAGAAATGTGCTTGTCATTTTGAATAGGATCTTTAATGTCCACCTGAACAAGCAGATGAGAGCTCAGTTTAATGTCTGACAATACAGAGTTCCCCAGCATTGGAGTGTTAGCCGAAATTCACCACACATATTCATGCTGTTCATATTTAACTAAATGTTTTCAGAAAACATTACCCTCCCCAATCTGAGCTCTTCCTGGCTTGTGGTTGGGTTGAACAGAAGATCAGGTAGATTCTGTACCATCCAAATCATCATCCCATTTATAAGAGTACAAGGAGTACCCTCCCTTCCTTTACCACAATTACACTGTAAAAATATTGAATATTGGGAAATATTCGGGCACAGAACATTTTGTGCTTTCAAGGCTGTTGGAACATTTGTGCGTTATAATAATAATCGTTATTATTATAAGTGCCTATAATGTCAGAATCCTTCTCTAGTAAATGCTGTCAGTGTAGTGACTGTATTTATAGGCAGTCACAGCAGCCAGTTCGCACACAGCAATGTCTCACAAATATTCCTGAAGCGAATGACTGTAATCAAGACGAATGTTGGTTAGGGCAAAGAAAACGGTTCCCTTCTTTTTTCAAAATAGACCCATCTGAAGACCCTCCTCTTTGACCGTGCTTTCGATCACCTTGCTTCCTGCCCCAAGCTCGGGTCCGAAACTTGGACTGTCTAACGCCTTGGGACGTCCTCCCGACATGAAAGTTGCTATACACATGTAATTTTGTTGTTGTTGTTGTTGTTGTAGCGTTCACCCATGCACAATGAGAGTACAATTAAATGAACTAAGATGACAGTGGCTAGACAGTGAAAGAGGAGCTTAGAATAATAACTTAATAGCATGCCCTATCATGTCAAAACATCTCAAAGTTTCACACAATTTTCTTTGAGGCGCTTGTCCCTTGTATCTAGTCTGAACTGGACGAGTGGTAGCTCGGAGTGTCTCAAAGCCAATGTAAACGATAGGGCTTTGTAAAAAAACTACAAGTGATGGTGGATTGAGCCTGTGCTCTGTCTGGTTGCATTACGACAGCAAATGCTTATCACTGTGACTTCCGAGGAGTTAACTATCCTTCAGTTTGGGGTGCCTTATGATTATTGGCTCTTAGTCCAGGATGGGTCAACCTAAGTCCTGTTCTATGTATGAAAATTTCTCAATTGGCAGTACTCTGTCTCTATATATTATACATATACGTGCATATAATATATATATGTGTGTGTATATATATTTATATAATCCTTGCATTTGATATAGCGCCTTATCACGTCTTCGAGATGTTTCAAAGCGCTTCACAGAATATACGGTAAATTGAATTGACTGCATATTTTGTGGACGAAACGCGGCAGCAAATTGCGCACAGCAGTGTCCCACAAACAGTGGTGGATTGAAGTGATCAATTTTTTCTTTTAAATAATTATTACCCCAGGAAAAGCGATCCGCCAGTTGACTACCTACGGGGTTCCTTCTTACTGCTAGGTAAACAGAGGTGTGCGGAGTAAGGAAACTTGCCCAACATTTTGCCTTGCCGGGAATCAAATCTTGGTCTTTGCTTGCAAGGCGAGTGGTCTAACCACTGAGCTAAAAGACTCAACTTATATATAAATCTCGCTCTCTCTCTCTCATATATATATACATATATATATGATACTTGAAAACAAATATGTCCATGTCACTTCCAGTTAAAAGACCTTTTCAGATGAGGTACAAATCATGTCTCTCTATCAATTCGTTATTGAGATCCTTCTTGAAGCGCAGACAGGCATTGTCGTTTTATTAGTGTATATATGATTGATTGATTGACAGATAGATAGAAATAACAAGGTGTACATCGATCATCATCTTCTCATTTGCCCTCCACTCGCTTGTGATTTGGTTCACACCTACGGATGATCAAATAATATTCTGAATTAAAAACAGGAGTCCACAAGAATTTTTGGTTTTACCTCTGGCAGCTTTTTAAAATTCAGCTTCGATTTGTGCATTTGGTCTTTATTCTTCCACAGTTGAGATTAATTTATGTGCTTCTCTCCTGTTTTAGGTGTTACCTGTGCTCTCTCTTGTGTGATACCCCCCACTGATGCAGTAGTATTACCCAGCAATGTTACTGCTGACAACATGGAGCACTGGATGGAAGCAACCAAAGTACAGGTGAAATTCAAAGAATCCAATTTGCTAACTCACAATGTAAATCTTATTTGCTGTATTTTAACTAGGATGAAAGAGTGAAAAGCAAAACATCCCCAAACTTAAGCGAAGCATATGACTTCTTTGATTCAGGTCCAATTTTTCCTGAAGACTGAAAATTGGAGATTCAGGAAAGCCTTCCACCATTCAGATCAATATCTCTTACTGCACCAGTTAACACCATCAATCAGTGATCAGTGCCTACCCAAGACTGCAGAGTGTGTTGATCAGATTTAGGCTTGAAAGGACAGAACAGAATAGCCCAGCAGAACAGGGAGCTCAGCGTAACAGAGCAACAAACTGCTGGAAGAGCAGATCAGTTTTTATTATTTTTCACGTTTTTATTCCATCCATGTCTCAAAGCACTTCACACTGTGGGATCTTACTTACACTGGTCATTAAAACTACCCGTCCTGTTCCGCTAAGCCTTGCTAATGGGAAGACTGACTACATGAAAATGTGGCAAATGTTTCTGGTGATAAAACAACGGGCAGTGGATTATTTTTAGCAGCTTACAAAGATTTGCCAAATGCTTTTTTTCCTCCTCTATGACTGTTCCCTTTTTAACATGGGACTTTCATTTTCGTAACCTGTTGGTGACCATTTTCTTGAAGTGTTGCTGAATTATTAGTGATTGTGATAAGAGTTTGCATTTCTATAGTGTTTTTCATTTAGGATGAACCACTCATTAAGACAATACGAAGCACTGAGCAAGAATTAGAGGAGCAATAAATGAAGTGTATTGACCAAAAACACAGTGGAAAGGGTTTTCATGAGAGAAGGAGCAAGGCAGAGTGATTTTGGGAGAGTTCCAAGGAGCAGGGATATAGTAGTTTTGTTTCAGATAGATGTAAACTATATGTTTATATTGCTAATAACAGCAGTAGCATTCCGCTGTACGTTTGACACTGCGGACATATTAAATCCCACATCATGTGATAATCTGTTTTTTTAAGGCCACATAAGGCAAGGAAGCTGATTAGCTGACCTCTATGTAATTGAAACCCTTGCTGCCCAAGGTTAAGGAAATAGCTGATTTCTGCAGCACAGTGGGGCACAGACACTTGGAATGTGAATAAATGTGCTGTAAATCAAGTGAGGAACAAGTATGCTATAAATAAAACGAGAGCCAAATTTTCAAAAGACCTGTAACACTGCAAGGGACATGTACGCTCTCCAGGATTTTTTTTCAAAAGCAGCAATGGCCCCATGCTGAGTATTTCAACTGCAGTGTTATTCTAATCCTTGCAGAATTAAGGGGAAGTGATTTTTCTCTATAAACAAATCTGTTCAGCTTTCACGCCAGAGAGAGGAGAATGGCCAAAAGCGAAGGAGTCTAGCCATCGGGACCCACCCGCCGTGCCACCTCAATATTTTCTCTGGTGTTGTTCCAGGGTAGAATTAATATGCGGTGAACTTATCCAAACAGTTTGCCAGGGTCACTTACGTGGTATGTCACAGACTCCGCAGGTCTAGATCACCTCCCCATTGCTAAAGATACCTGCCCTGCATGCCAACATGTGCCAAGGCCGCTTGGTCTGTGATGACTATGTTCCCTATAATTTGTTCATCACTTGCTGTACTCTCTTTACCCCGCTCTGCATTTATATTGTTTCCTGATCCTCGATTTGCACTTCCTGTTATTCTTATACCTCGCTTTGCCTTTTTTTCGTTCTGTGCACCTTGTTATGAATTTCCCATGTTCCCTGTACCTTTCTCTGTGTTCCCTGTGCCTCACTTACCATTTCTCATGTTCCCTATTGCTCACCATCTACACTGCACTGTGTGTGTATATTCTGAAACATTTTTGCACCTCAATCTCAGAATTGTTCCTTCTATTACTGCTAGTAACTCCCATTGTCATTATAGCCTTGTCTGTTTTCACAAATAGCCAATTCATTCAAATGTAAGTGAATTTGAAACCGGCTTCTGACTCTTTTACCACAAGTGCTATGATTTTTCCAACTGTTCCACAAGACTCCAGAAAAATATAGTTTTCATGACAGTGTGAAGATATCATGGGCTGGCACACAAGGTACAGTGCAATAAAGTGGAACGATACAGATATATACACACATAAGCAGATTCGCACCTGCACCATACATATACACAAGGAAATTTAACATTACAGACGCCTGCGCACATAGTAGACACACAGTCGCAGGCATAAGCGCACAGAACCTTTTGAATTAGGACCTTGAGTAAATTTTTGAGGTGTGCTTTTGGCTGCTGCAGTAACCGCACCAGAATTCCATCATGGCACATTATGTCGCTGCTTCAGGAGGCACAGTGAGGGATACTAGCACATTACTGAGAACATGGTGCTAGAGCCAGTCAATCCAGAGCCAGTCCTTTGAAGATTGCGAGTGAAACCATCTTGTGACTGCTATATCCGGATCCAGGGAATGCAAAGCAAACAGCTCCGAGTCCCAGGACTGATCGTGCCAAGGGATACACGGATATCCTCTTACCTCCTGGCACAGAAGTGGAGGGTGTTTTACAAAACATTTTTTTTCCAAATCACGTTCTTTTAAACTATGTTACGTGCTGTACAACAACACTCACGCAGAGATTTATTCAGTGTTTTGTTCAAGTAACATGTCTCTGTGAATTTAAGTGTCAATTTGAGGCTTCAGTGTTTAAGAACCCTGGACAGTTCTTGAGTCTGGGCCCTTTGCTTCTTGTAATATAATAATCCGTGCATTTGATACAGCGCCTTATCGCGTCGTTGAGATGTCTCAAAGTGCTGCACAGAATATGCAGTATTGACTTGACTGAATATTTTGTCCCACAAACAGTCAAGGATTGAGTGGCCACATTTTTTTGGAGGGATTATTATTCCCCGGAAAGAGAACCGCCAATCAACTAACAACCGGGTTCCTACTTATTGCTAGGTAAACAGAGGGGTGTGTAGTGAGGAAACTTGCCTAACATTTTACCCTGCCTGAGGATCGAGCCCAGGTCCTCGCGCTTGCGAGGTGAGGGTGCTAACCACTACACGACAGGACTCAGCTCCAGGATTGAAGATTAAAAGGAGGAGTTCAGTATTGAATTTTTGGGACAGAATGAGATAGAATTGGAGATGTGATACTGCAGTGAGTCAGTGAGTTTGGACTAAAGCAGTGAGAATGTGAGGAAATGAAGAAGAGTGCATTATTTGTTCAGTTTTTGAGAGGCATGGAGGAAAATAGGGAAGATCTGTCTGGTTGAACGAGGCAGTGTATTGGTGTACAGGTGATGCTGCACAACAGCATGGAAAAACTTGGATTAATGACAGTAGTTTCAAAGACAGAATGCTTCCCAGCAAGGGTAGGAACATCCCATATCGCTCACTCCTATTCTTATGGACTTTCTAGTAATCAGTTACTGCGAACAGGCCATCTGCTCTCTCCTTTCTTGCTCCAGAAGCCTAAGGAGAGAACAACAACATTTAAATAGGAGAAAATATTGTGAAGTGAAATGGTTTAATAAATAGCACTAAATAAGCTCTCTCTTCTCCTACAGAATATAGTGTGCACAGGGATACTGCGATGGTACCCTGATCCCCATCTCATCCACTGCATCCAATCGTGTGAGGTAAGCAAATATTTTATATTACAGTTGCACTGCCAGCTTCTCTGGAAGCTTCTTTATCTGAACTTGATGAACTTCACTCTTTCCTTGAAGCTGATCTGCTGAACACTCCTCCCCCCCCCCCCCCCCCCACCTCTTAGAACGTCACCGCAGATGGGGAATGAAAACTACTCAGCTTATGTTACTCTGCAATTCACTGTGCAGTGAGCCCAGAATTAGAGAGCACAAGGATCATTTTAACAAGCATCAAGCAATTTACAAGGATTCCTGTGCAATATACAACCACACCACAAAGTGATGATTGCCACTTGTTTCAGATGCTCCTGCAGTTCTACTTCTTTAGGTCTTAGAGTACAGTAATCAAATTCACATGCAACATTTGTATAGTGCCTTTCATGTCGGGAGGACGTCCCAAGGCCCTGGACAGTCAGCAAGCTGGGGGTTGGGATCAGGAAATTGCACATGTTGGGGAAGAATTATTCTGGAAATTCAGCATTCCAATCTGTAACGTGCTGTGCCTCTCCCAAATGGATCAATCCAATTAGGATCTAACTCAACAACAACTTGCATTTATAGAACACCCTTCAAGCAGGGTAGCGTCTCGGAGGGCTGAGGACAGAGGTAGGTAATATTTTCAATAGAGCCTGGCTAACTGGAAGGGCAATCACATGTGGGACAGAACTACACTGTCCTGTAGATATGCTCGCATCATTCCTTTTCTAGAGTTTCAGACACTCTCCTCATTACCTGGTAACAAAAAATTGATAAGTTTTGCAGCACTTGTTCAGCTGTGGCAGCCTGTCCTGTTACAGCACTGTGGCTTTTGAGGTTCAGGAAATGTCTACACCTCCCACTTTCATTGATGAACTGGTCAGCCATCAACTGTGCTATGTTTTCCCTGAGCCAGTTTGGGAGATATTAGAGTTCACTCCCTCCCCCTCCTCCAAGCTTGAAACAACATAAAATAAAGTTCTATTTTAGCATCTTGGTGCAAGGTGTGTTGTGATGTTGACTCCCATCTTCTGTTCTGACAGTTCTCATGAAACTGCCAGAAAATCTTCAGAGAGATAGTAATCAAATTCACATGCGGCAAAGCACTCTGAACAATAATACTGTCAGACTCCAGCAGGGATATTTACTCTTACTGGTAGTAAAGGTGATTGGGACCTGGTAGCCTGGACAGGCTGGACTACGTTCAGTTTGAAAATATTACCTCTTCTAACTGCTTGTGCTAATTTATTTGATGCTGGGAAGTGCACGAGGTTGTCATCAATAATTTTTACTGCTATAGCTCCTTTCATGTAGGGAGAATGTTTCGTAGTGCTTTACAAAGATGGAGTGGGACCCTGACCTGGGTGAGTGATGGGAGTAGAGCATTGATGGCTGGAGGGGCAGTCAGAGATAGATCTTCAGGGGGGGCTTTCAAAGAAGAGATGAAGGAGGTGATGTGGAGGGGCATTTTGGAAGAGAGTTCCAGATGGCGAGAGCAAAGTGGTAACAGCCTGCCTGCTCATAGTGCAAAACTGCTGAGTGGGAGGCATCTGTGCCAATCTACCCGTGGACTATCTCACTGGCAGTGAAAGCAACTCATCTGTGACAAAAAAGAATTGGGAGTAGCAAGTAAGTGCTTATTTTAATATTGATAGTACCCAGTGAGTCAGGTCTCCCCAGTACATTTCCAATCTCCCTGGAGGACAGAAGAGTAGTTTCTCCCCAGTAACTGTTTTGGGTATTTCTCTGGTTGTCTTAGCAGGGTGTGCTAATCTCTCAGCTAGGCCTGGAAGGTTCTCGGTACATCCCTCACTGGCAATATAGGTGTATATCCATGTAATCCGTTCAACATCCATGGAGAATCAGCTCCCCTACGTGGGAAGACATCCATTGCTCCAACCCAGTCCCTTGAGCTTCCCTTCCTGGGGAGATAGTGGTGGCACTGCTGCCCTCTGTTGACTATTAGTTTTCACTCCACCTGCATTGATTTTAATAGTGCAAATCCTCCCCTCATCCCTCAACCCCGTTTAAAAAAAACATTTATCATTTACTAACACATTGGCTGCTTAAAAGCCAACCCTTTGCAGTTTCTTGTTATATAATAGCCCTGCAGTAATAGCATCTGGGTACAATGGTATGCCTGTATGTAATGTGCTCCAATACAAATTTATATCCAACTGTCACCTGTATTTAAGAGACAGCAGCTCTTTGATGTTAACAAGTGTGAAATCTTGGTGGATCAGCTGATTGATTGCAGGTTATAAACTCAGATAGCTGGCTTGTTGAGTATTGTCAAACACACCGAAATGCACGGGTAATAACTACCACCACGATCGAGATGGCAACCCGTTTCCTTGCTCTGATCATAGCGTTGGCTGGGAGACAAATTGTAAAGGAGATTAGCCTGTGTTCCTTGAACCCAACACTGCTCTTTGTTTCACTCTAACGCTGGCTGTTCGTCCATCATGTTTTTTTTAAAAAACATTTACAAATATTATTTTCAGATTTTTGACACTTTCACAGTATTAGAAGCTATAAAGGTATAAAAAGTTTGGCCTTTTATATTAAAAATAACTTGCATTTGATATGATAATAATAATAACAGTAATCCTTTCATTTGATATAGCGCCTTATCACTTCTTCGAGACGTCTCAAAGCGCTTCACAGAATATACTGTAAAGTGAATTGACTATGTTTTGTGGGCAAAATTTATATATAGCACATTTCATGTCAGGGGAGACATCGGAAGGCACTTCACAGGATTCGCTGCAAAGTGTAGTAACTATGTTTTGCAGACAAACGCGACAACCAATTTGCACACAACAGTGTCACACATGACATTTCGACATTGCTTTGTGTCAACTGCGTCTTTAAGTCTCTTATTTCCCTGCCTGATTTACACCACTATATTTGTCAAGCGCTTGGAGACTTTTTTTTGGTGAAAGGAGCTATTTAAGTACAAGTTGGTTTATATCCCTTTATAAGTTCATCGGAACTGTAGTAGCCTTGAATTACCAATTGTGCCTTTGCTTTCTGCCATTATCTTTCTCCTGTGCCTAATAATATCCCTCCAAAACCAAAAACAATAATAAATTGGTCATTTTCAATCTACGACTGTTTGTGGGACATTGCTGTGTGCAATTGGCTGCCGCGTTCGCCCACAAATATACAGTCAATTCACTTTACAGTGTGTTCTGTGAAGCGCTTTGGGACGTCCTCCCGACGTGAAAACGCTATATCAAATGCAAGGATTATTATTATTATTATTGCTGAGGACAGTCACTTGCGGTAACTCAACAGCACCACCACCAGTAGCACTGGGGCATTGCAACCACTTACCAAATATTCAAAGAAATCAATGGAGAAAAGCTACAGGTGTTGGAAACGCACAGTACAAAGTGTCAATAAGAGATTCCCTTTCGACTGGCGGCTGTAACTGCCACCTCTTCATAACAGCACAACTTGAGAATTAGACCTAGTATTTGTTAGAGGGACACCTCTGATTTGATATGCTGGTCGCGGGTGGCTTGAGCCTCAGGTTTTGCAGGACAGAAGGGACCAAGGAGAGCATCCGATCAAAAGCTGACACTTCCCCACCACGATGCAAATATCTCAATAAAGTGATCTCAGCTGGTGCTGCAGTCGGTCTCACTGCCCCAATTAAATACCAGCTTATTTCTGGGAAATAAGCCAATGGCTTGGCTCCTGCTCACTGTACAGGGACTGCTGCTGCAAATGGTGCAGAGCCTTGGTGACAACAGGATCACACAACTGTCCGGGCTCAAGTTTGAACAATAATCATTTATACAAGATCAGCCCAGACCCCCGGCACAAATCAGTTTTCAATGGAGAGTGTGGGGGTTGGGGAGGGGAGTAAAAGTGGAATGTAAGCTGTATTGTCAAATTATTTTCCGGTCACTTACTCGAAATGTTCAACAAATCGCAAATAATGCTGGGGAGCTGGAAACTATAATTCCACCGCTCACACCTTGTACCCAATCACCAGCATTGGGGCAACGGGACTCATAGGAACAGGAGGAGGCCATTCAGCCCTTCGAGCCTGTTCTGCCATTTAATTAGATCATGGCCGATGTGTACCTCAACTAATCCTTTCAATTCCAATTTCCCGCTTTCTGCCCATATCCCTTAACACCCTGACCTACCAAACATCTATCAACCTCAGTCTTGAAGGCATGGACGGATCTAGCAAATATTCAAATGGCACAAAGACAGAGATTCTGTGTACTGTTAGTATTCCCTTCAAGTTTTAAGTCTAGATTTTGAAGATTCCAGTCTCCCTGCTGCAGTGCTAATGACTGCGCTCCCGGAGAGCCAGTAAAGCTATAGAATAACATGGAGGAGCAGTTTAATTTATTAGCTGTCTCCAGGTGAGGAAACGGAAGGAACAGCCAAAACATAGTGGACTAGTGAAGCCAGAGAAAGCTTCAAACGTTCAAGGCAATAAATATTTATGTCTCAGATGTTTGCTTCCCATCCTACTCTTTGAAATCTCTTTTATTGAAAAACTATGCCAGAGAGCTAGAGAGCTGTATTAAAATGTTTTAATTTATCCTTTACTAAATACAATGGCACGCAGATTATACCTTGCTTGAAATCAGGCAACAGGTAAAGGACAATGTAATGCATAAGACAACAGGTCGGAGGAAAATGTTACAATGTGAGGACAGCAGGTAAGAAAGTGTTACATGTAAGACAACAGGTGGGAGAGTGTTATGTAAGCAACAGGTAGCAGTATTACGTACAAGTCAACAGAGAGGAGAGTATGTGACGTAAGACATAAGTAGCAGGAAAATGTTATGCATGAGGCAACAGGCTGACAGGAGAGTGTTGCACGTGAGGCAGAAAACTTACATACAAAGGAAGGGACAATTTCTGCAAGGGAAGGGGTGGCGTCTTGTTTTGTGCCTGTATGAACCTGCACGTTCCAGGGCTTCCTTATACCTCTTCTGAGTCCCCTTCCATTTCTTGCAAATCTGCTGCTCAAGTCCCAC